CTCCAACTCCAGGACCTGGATCGTAACTGAATTTTCCTTCTTCCCCCTTCCTTGCACAGTTCCTCATCAGTCAGCTGAAGTTACTCTTGCTGGGTCTGTGAAGCAGTCAAGCTAAGGGGCTTGATGAAAAGCTTGCTTGATAAAGAAGTGCTGGGTTTATACAAAAGGCTATAAAGACTCCACAGGCATAACTAACACCTGATTTAAAATTATTCAACAGAGCTTGCTGAATTCTGTATTTAGTCCAAATTGAGAACAAATTTAGCTCTTTTGTCTGTTTGCAAATTGTTCATCAGCTGATTATGACTTTTACGAATCCGTTCATTATCTGCAGTTGCCCAGCGTATGCCTTTTATGAGCATATAAGCTGTTTAAAATGAATATTCAGTCAAGGATTCACTACTCAAGGCTGGTGAGGAGCCACATGATTTTGTTTCTGGTACTAGATTCCTGGCTAGAGAGCCCAAATTAACTTGCATACAAATAATTGTAAGCATAATTTTTTCCTTTCCAAGAGCAAACAGAAATGTTGCAAACATGCCCGAGTAGAAACACAGTGCAGAATTTCTGAAACAGCAGTTAAGATCTCTCCTTATTCCTTGCCTAGTTCTCATACTGAAATACAAGTCAGTGTACCTATCAGGGAAATAATCTGCTTTTTTAAAAATACTTAAAAAGCTGTACATGACAAGTGGAGCCATAATGATTTGTAATGGCCCCTATTATTGCATGCAGATTTACACTGGCTTCTTAATTTAGACATTTTTCTGCATGCTTGTGGTTACAACTTAGCCGAAATGTAGGTAAAAGCTGGTTTTGGTCATATGCATGCATTGTGGTGCTTCAGTATCACAAAAGATTCATTGAAGTTCATAGCCTTGTGTTGCATGTGTAGAGCAGTGCAGCAGTGCAAACAGTCAGTGTTTTAATAGGCTAAAGGAGAAGTGGCATCTTTAGCCTTTAACTTTCCACATTTTCAAGATAGCGGACCTGAGAAAAGACGACTAAAAAGAATAGAATAATGTATGAAGGTGAGCGAAGTTCCTGGATAGGACCTTCACAGTACTTTCACATGACCTATCTTCCTCCCCTCCCCCCGCCCCCCATCCTCTGCTTCTTAATATTTCTTCAGCTTGAACAAAGTATTTGCACAGAGCTATTTTACTGCCTAATTAAAATTGAACCCATTAAGCTGTATATGATTAGAAAATCAAGGTAGATGTGTCACTTTTATGCTTCAAAAATTGTTTTTTTCATTCCAGAGGACTGCTTAGATCCTATGTGCTCTGGCCATGGCGTCTGTGTTCAAGGGGAATGTCACTGCTCCACGGGCTGGGGAGGAGTAAACTGTGAGACATCTCTTCCTGTGTGTCAAGAGCAGTGCTCAGGTCATGGGACTTTCCTCTTGGATACTGGAGTGTGTAGCTGTGAGCCACAGTGGACAGGTCCAGACTGCTCAACAGGTATGGCTTGGGTTTTTCTTAATAAAGCCTATCAAATTCTTGTGCTTTCAGGTCAGTTTCTGTTAAGAAATAATTATGTTACACCAGTCTTAATAAGAACCGACGTAGCAAATAAGATGGAGTCAGCATAGTGGTTCAGTGGGATATGAATATAAGATGAGCTTGGGACTCCTGGTTTGTTTTTTTTCTATGACAAGTCTGTTGATTACACTGCTACGTGCCAACCAAAGTGCTACCTGTGCTGAAGTCTGACTGCCTCCTAATTTCAATTTCAAATTAAAAGTGCTCAGCATCTCTCAGGAACTCCCTAGCTTCTTGCAGGATCAGACCTACAGTGCAAAATGGTAGACTGCAGTAGTGAAAGATACTCAGAAAATAGCAGCTGTAGTGACGTCACTAGAAGAACATGACCTAAGTCCAGGAACTTATGGATAAGAGGAGCCTTTGCCTAAGGAAATGTGACGAAAGAATTGACTTCCCATTCTAAACCATGAAGTTAAACATTAATTTCTTACTTAAAGGACCATCAAGGTTTAGTCCAACTGTTGTTGTTCAAGTGTAGAGATGATCTCATTATATACTTTGTACATTTACATTCAGTTGTCTTGAACTGAAAAGACTCAGACATTTTATGCCTGAATAGATTGTGTAACTTTCAAGGCAGGTGCCATTGCCTTTTTGAGGAGAAAGTTCACAACTTATAAAGCTCAGTTGATGGTTAACGTCTCAAATTACAATGCAAAATAGATCCAAGTGAGAGGTTGATTGAATTCCATAAAGTACAACTAATGGTCCAGGCCTGAAATGTTCTGAGTAGCTGTAGGCCCTCCAGTTCCATAGGTACATTGGAGCTGAGAGTGCCCTTTAGTGCACAGTTAATATTAATGCTACTTATGTACAGGTGCAGATGGGAAAAGATCTTACTAATGTACAGGTGCAGATGGGAGAAGATCTCTTTGTTTCCCATGTACGTTTCCCCTGCTAAGAGCAAAGCATTATAGGCATTTGCTTAAGCCCTACTGAAGTCATTAACATTAAGCATATGTTGAGTTGGTCTCTGCTGAGTTGGAACCATTGTGTCGAAATAGTGGAGATATTTATACATATGTATATTTACACTGTACTGTCAGTAATGCTGAATGTTTAGCAAATGGTCATTTCAAAGATCATTCATCACCGTCATCATTCACTGTGGGCCATGGGATTTCATCTCATTATGAGACTGTTGGATATGATACTTCCTTTGATAAGAGTTCCCCTTATCAGCTTTGAACAACCAATGTGAAAACCCTAGTGTCTGCATTTTTATCATGTGTTTCATTACATGTTGAAAAGGTTCCCTAAAGGATGGTAATACACTAGCATATCCATTAATAAAACAGATAGTTAGGGAAGGTGTTGTATGTGTACTAAATTTGTTTTGCATAAAATATGCAAAAGAACGCTGTTGCAGTAATGGACTTGCCATAGCCCCAATACCAAGAAGCTCCAAAAGGGCTGTTAAAGTTTGTCTCTTGCATGCTAATTATGAGAATGTCGTTAACTGCAGAATACGGTGGGTGACTAAAGAAGGCACTGTGCTGAAGGTCTTGATTTTATTGTTTGTATCAGGCTTTCAAAGTTCCTTCAATGTGTTTTTTGCAAGAAAGTATACTTTTTTTCTTGCTTCTATCAACCAATAAGAAAAACAACTTCCCCTCTCAACTGTCTCTGTACTTGCCAAGAAAGCGGCCTTTTACAACCACCCACATGAATCTCCCTTTATAGCTGGATATTACAGATCTCTCCTTTTAGATGCCTTTCTCTTTATAGCTATTAAACCAGAGCCAGGATTGTTGTGACAATACAATGAGTATTAGACTGAAGTATAGACATCAGTGAAAGAGACTTTCTTCCTAAGGTCAATGGCTATTGCATGTACTGGAAGCAAAGTTTGATTTTAGTGAGAAAGAAAAACATCAGAAGAGGAAGTCAACAAGGTCAGAGTAAGGGAGCCTCCATATGCGGGTTGAGAAAAACATGAATTTCTTTTAGAACAACTGGGATGAAAAAGGTAAACCACATACCACTCATCTAGACTCAGGAAGCAGTGAACAACTTGTAGGTGATAGACCAGAAGTCAATCAGGCTACTTCAGACATTTTTATCTTCTCTTAGCATCTCTTTATATCTAAAGTCAGAGAAGCAAATGAATCTCTATTTAGTATTAGGTAAATTAGATTTCTGTATTGACTACAAGAATATGGGACCTGCAGTGACCTAGCTTACCAGTTTCTGTATTTCATAGACAATGCGAAACATTTTCAAAGTACTGACAATTCCTTTTTGATTTTCATACTCTTCTTTGAAAAAGGAAATTAAAACCTCTTCTTATACCATACCAGGCAGCAATGGAAAAGGTGCGCTGAGACATTTGACTAGGTGGATCTCTCTGTTCCATCAGAAAGAGGACTCGGCTACCTCTTCAGATCACAGCTGACTACTCTGAGCCTTGCAAAGATCCATGAGTATGGGGTTCATACTGGCAGGCAGGCGTTGTCTCTCTTCAAGCCTTAAGACACTTCAATAAAAGAGCGAATACCAAACTTTCCCTTTAGGGGACACGGAAGCAGGGGATCAGCATCACAGTTACTGTAATCCCTAATGAGCAGTGAAGTTTGGAGCTAAGATTTGAGGTCTTCTGAAATAACGCATACATTTTAAGGCAGGAGGAGCCATTCTGACTAACTAGTTTGACCTCCTGTATAACAAAGGGCAAAGACTGTCACTCAGACACCAAGCCCATAATTTCTTCAAGCCCATAATTTATAGCTGAGGTTTTAGTATGAAGTCAGTTTTTACTTAGATTTGACTTATGACACTAGCATTACCAGGAGAAATACCCAAAGTCACCTCCCTAATGCAGGCAGACTTAAAACTTGTGGTCCGAATGGGGATCTCGCTGCAAACTTCCTTCCGGTCTGAGAGAGAATCTCCTTACTTATAGGGGAGAACATAATTCGAGCTGTAGCACATGTCTGCTTGGAGGGAAAACTTGGTAAGTGCGTCCAATATATTTTATAAAAACAAGAATGACCAAACCAAATATACTCCCACACTTAAAAACAAACCTACAAAAACTCCAGAGCTGTGATATTTTTGGTATTGCCTCTTCCATTTTTGCCGATCTATAAAAATAACTTTATGTAAAAAGAAGCAATTCTTTCCCTAATCAACATACTTCTTCTTATTGATTTATATAGAAATGCTGCGTTCAGTGTTTACACGAGTAGAGTGCCTTCTAATTCTTTCTTCTTCGGTTAGATCTTTTAGAAGCAGGAGTGTGCTATTGCTATTACTTCATCAAAAAGCTGCCTAAAGAGTATCCTAAAACTGTCGGCTTAAGCACTCAGAAGTCAAGAAAAGGCAAAAATTAAGATCATGCATGCCGTCTTAACTCTTTCACCTTATATGTTTCATAGCGGTTGCAGAGAAAGCAGTGTTCCTTTTATCTTCAGTAGGAAAAATGTTAATGTTAATGTGCATGGATCCAGTTTTAGGGGAAATGAATCCATGGGATAATACAAACATTGGACTCTGACATGATTGAACGGATGGGGTTTTAGGAAGAATATGGTAATAAAGGGAAACGTATATTTATACATGGGGGGGGGTAGATGAAACAGGGGCCCTAAATTGAAGCGGTGGGTTTTAAAAAACACCGCTTCAATTTAGGATGGATTAAACCCCTGCTGACTTACCTGCCTCTCCGGCAGGGAGGGGAGGCCAAGCTGCTGGTGGGCAGGCAGAGCAGTCCCTGGGCTATGGGAGGGCCCGGTGCTTCCCTCCACGGCAGGTGTGGCCCCCCCAGGCAGCACCCACCCACAGGCGCCTGGCTCGGGCAGTCCCAGGGGGCACCACAGCTGTAGAGGGAAGCACCGGGGCCCTGCACAGCTCAGTCAGGCAGGCTCCAGGGAAGGGGAGGAAGATTATGCTCTCTGCTTTTCTTGGGTGGAGCTGCTTTCCCGGGCTGCTGCCAGGCTGCCTGCAGGGCTCCCTGCAGAGCCATGGAGCTGCACAGAGGCCGGTGCTTCGCTCTGCGACGGTAGGGGCAGCAAACTGAAACTCCTCGGAGGGGTTTTAGTTTACTGCACTCCAAGTCATTTAAGGCGCATTGTGCCACCGAATTTCCTACAGCGGCTGGAATTAATGTGCAATACGTTGCCGAGGCATGCAAACACTGACACCATTAAAGTGGTGCAAAAGCATTTAGCTCACTATAAAGTGTCGTGCACGCACACTCCTCGTTTCATCTACACACGGCAGATTTCAGAATTCACTGGGGTAAAGCACCAAATGGTCTAAGAAAGGGGTCAGCAGCTTACAGCTCAGAGGCTGAATCTGGCCCATGAAGGTTAGTGCTGGTCTGCATTTTATTAAACATACACCAACCTCCAGCTGTTTGATCCAATCTCTGTTTTGCCATGGGCCGTTTCAGCCTGCCATGGAGGACTGCTTTCCTTTGCTCACCTGTGTTGGAGAGGCCAGAGGGGAACTGTGACCCGTGGTAAGATTACTGACCCGTGGTCTAAGAGACCATCAGTTGAAAGAGGAAAAGGCTTCGAACCCTCCTAACCGTGTTAGATATTGGTGAAGCCTGCACAACATCTCTGCTTTGAGAAGCTTTCTGCACCATATCACTCAGATCTCTGCAGGAAGCAACAAGTCCACGTCCTTGGGTCAGCAGTTGAACATCTCAGGTTGGCATCTCCTGTTCAAGAGGCTTTTTTTTTTTAAGAGCTTTTCTTTCAGCATCTTTTATTCTTTGTCCCACATTCCCTGTGATTGCTCCTCTTTCCATAACAGTAAATGCTTTAGAGTAGCCCTGAACCAGGTGGTAGAAAAACTTCATTTTTCATTTCAGTACATTTTATTTTTAATAGTAGATGCCGAATAACATGATTGTATTATAGCACAAATGTCAACAGCTAATTTGTAATCAAACCGTGTAGGTGATGGGC